GGGACCCTGGAGATCAATGGATTGGTGAGACCAGGGGGAAGGGACCAAGACACGAGGTGGCACCACCTCTTGCCTGAACATATACACCATTCCTGGGGGACTGCCCCTTTTCTCTGGGAGCATCACCCTCTTGGAAAGAGGGAGCACAGCTTCCAGCAGGACTCCTGGGGAGCCAAGAGGGAGGAAGGGGATCCCTGACTGAGATCAGCTGAATATACCAAATCATCAGTGGACGGTGGGGGCAGGGACAGGCGCCAGAGACAGATCTAGTCTGTCCGTATCCACCAGGACCCTGTGATGAAAGAGAAGGAGGACACTGCCCTTTGGAAAGACAAAATGAGCTGATTCGACGAATGAACAAGGGAACGTTCATGCCAAGTTCCCTTGAACTTGAGCAAGGGAAACTTTGTACAAATTATAAACCTCAATAAATGAATTGCCAATTGATTTCCTGAATTACTGGCAACTAGGAATCCATAGGAGAGCCCTTCAGAGACATGGCATGGTCACTCCAGGTGGGTAAGGAGAGACAAACGTGTTGTTTAACCACCAGGCCCTCCCTTGGAACAGCGGGTTATCTTTCAGAGAAATGCAACATCGATCTCTTCTCCTCCTCTACTTTGCGTCGGGGTGGAAAGAATCTTCCACTCTGTGTCTGGAACTCGTGGAGACAGAGCAGGGGGAACCCAGCTAAATTTATGCTCTGGGCTGCGTGCCATCTGCTGAGCCCTGCTGTGCAATTAGCAGACCTCTCCTTTGTAAACTGTGTGGCCTCCTGCGCAGCCTGCTTGAGTCTCTGCCATCAAAATAAGTTTTATATGGGCCGTCGCTGCTCAGTGTTCTGCAAGTCATTTCTCTCGCTTAAGACCATACAAGGTTAGGGCTTGTGTCTACTTCGTTTCAAGGTTCAGCTAACTGGGTCCTGCATGATTTCACATCCGACTCAAAGGAACCCAGCATCGTGGCGTTCCCAGAAGAAATGTGGGGAAATAAAACTCATGGCTGACACGTGGACGAGACTGGTAGGGGGAATCTCTGAGAGTTTGTGCAGGTGGGCTTTGCAAAATCCCATGTTCAGGCAAAGCACCGATATTTTAAACAGACAGGAAGTTGGCAGGGTGCCTCCGGAATGACTCGCTTGTTGATGTCATTTTCTGCCTGCCGTGCCAGTCTGTCTCCTGAGGGCCCAGAAACAAGTCTGAGGAGGCTCTGAGATAAGCCTGGGGGTGTGCTGACTCATGATCCTGGTGCTGCTGGGGCCCCCGAGTCCAGGGAGAAGCAGCACCCTGAAAGCTCTCAGTGGGGAAAGGAGTGGAGCAGATTTTGAGCACTTGGTCCAGGATCTGTCTCTATACTTGGACTCGTCACCCTCTCCATCCCTTTTCAGATTCCCCCCTCCACCACCAAAACAACCCATGTGTTGAGCAGTGGCCATGATGAGCAGGTTCAGTTCAGTTGCTCAGTCGTGTCCGACTCTTTGGGACCCCATGGACTGCAGCACGCCAGGCTTCCCTGTCCATCATCAACTCCCGGAGCTTGCTCAAACTCATGTCCATAGAGTTGGTGATGCCATCCAACCATCTCACCTTCTGTTGTCCCCTTCTCCTGAGTAGGTTAATAGTGAATTACTAACACTAGCGATTACTGTGACTGCTATCACTGAACGTCACCCTGACTGTTGGGGCTGAAGTCACTAACAAGACGGGAGGGAGGCGGGATGTCCCCTGCAGGAGGGCATTTTTCTAGGGAGGGGACCCTATCCCCTTCTTGGGCCATTCAGGGGTCTAATACTTTCGAAGATGACCAGAAAAAGTTTTGATTTTAAAAGCGTAAGATACACATTCAGTTGGTGGAAGCCTCCACTCCTCAACTGATGAGAATACACGGTAAGAAGCAATGGAGACACAGACAGACTAAAAAACATGGGGGTGGTGAGACGGAAGGAGAGGGTGGAATGTATGGAAACTTACAGAGAGCTAATGGGAATTTGCTGCACCACTCAGGGAACTCAAACCAAGGCTCTGTAATAACCTAGAGGGGTGGGATGGGGAGGGAGGTTCGAGAGAGGGGACATAGGTACACCTATGGCTGATTCATGCTGATGTTTGGCAGAAACCAACACAATTCTGTAAAGCAATTATCCTTCAATTAAAAAATAAATAAATTTTAAAAAAGAAGCTGAGAAAACTGCTGGAAGGCTGATTTCACACCTGGACTTCTGGATCTTTCTTTCTCTTCAAGTGGGACTGCCACCCAGTTCTGTTCTCAAAGCTTCCACACAATTCAGGGACCCTGGGGGTAATGTGGAAGGAAGCAGAAACAGAGGCTTGTTTCAAACTCCCCTGGAATGTCAGTGGGGTAAACTTGTGAGGCCCAACATAAACTAAGCTCTTGACAGCCTTGCTTTTTTCCCCCCACTGAGCTCGTTTTGGGCCCTCACCTGGTTGGGGGCAGAATTAAGCACTAGTGGCCGCATATCCCTGCTAATGCTTGTTTCCCGAGTGTACGTGAGACTGACTCCTGCAGGGGGCGCTTGGGAGCCCCAGTCCCGTACACAGGGCTTCTGCAGCGGGGTGGGCACCAGCTCTGCAGGATCTTACTCTGGCGCCAAAGAACAACCCCGTTTTCTCTGCCCATCCTTTCTCTCTCCTGGTCCTGCTACACATAGGCAGATTTTCCTCCCAGTCTCTGTCCCATCTTCCATCTTCCTCCTTCCCTTCCTCTCTCTCTTGGTTCTTGCTCCTCCTCCCCCGCCCCCCCCGCACCCCACCCCCCCGCCTCTTTCCTCTGTCTACCTGTGATCTTTTCAGCTTGCAACATCTTTCTCCCACATCAGTCCATGTAGTCAGTCAACTCACCAAGAGCCTGCTGCATGCTAGCCTGTGCTCAGCCCCAGGGGTGGGGCGGGTGCAAGGCAGAGAGACCCCGGACCTCTAAAATAGACCTGATGGGAGAGAGTGGGATAGGTGGCCAACAAGGAAGCTGAGAGGTGGATGTGGTAATCTCAGGAGCTGAGAGACGCAATAAAGAAGACAGATTAGAGAAGTGTGACAGAAAGTGACAGAGGGGAAGGGAGCGCTCATTTAGCCATTTTGGTCAAGGAAGGAACTTTCTGAGAAGGTAACATATACTCTGGACTGGAATACTGAAAAAAAGGTGTTTGTGTGATGGGTTGGAAGAAGGAATGGCAAGTGCAAAGGCCCTGAGGCAGCAGGGAGCTGGCATCTCTGAGTCAGGAAGAGACCAGTGCGGCCTTAGCTCAGGGAAACCCTGGGTACCCGGGTGGGGGAATAAGTGGGAGAACTGTCATCTGCAGCACAGGGTTTGGTTTGATTCTGGAGGAGTTGGGAAGATGATGGCGTTATTTAAGCAGGTGAGTGCTAAGAGAATACCCTTGTCTTAGCTTCTGTCTGTGCAGAGGACAGGGGTAGTGGCCAGGAAGTCAGCTGGGAGGCTTTGTTGTAGCCCAGAGATTATAGGAGCTCAGACCTTTAGTGGAGCAGAAGAGGGGGGACAAGAGGTCAGACTCAGGGTTCACTTGGGAATTCAACTGGATATGGCAAAGAGATCAGCAGGCTGGGTTTCTTCCCCTTCCCTTCTCTCTCCAGTAACCTCCTCTACCTTTTTCCAATTGAATGATGACATATATTGAAAGTAGCAGGTTAGAGGTATGGAGAAATCAAAAGATATATTTTGGTCACAACCTTAGCAAACCTATAAGGCAACTCAGAGAATCAGACAGGCACTCCCATGGAAGGTGCCTCCTCCGCAGAGCAGCTGGAGCCCACACCAGTGCTCAGAACTTTGGAGACCAGACATGGACTGGATGCCCACTGGGGTCTCTTAGCTGGCTGCCCTAAGCAGTGCACAAGCTGAACAACAGTGCGTGGTGACTCTAACCCCTCCAAATTCAGGCAGCCTCAGTCAGCACTTCCTGTTGAGCTGTGGATTCAATGATGGTAACACAGGTTCTTTCTACTGTTCTGCTGGAGCAGCGAGGCTATCACCACCTGCTGGACCCACTGTGAACAGAGAGCTTATTATACCAAACAGTCAAGGTCAATTTGTTGTAGGGTTCACAGAGCACTTTGGATGCCTTGAGGTCTACATTCAGGTCGGCTATTTGCCCTGAGCTTAGCACAGAAGCCACATCGCATATACTCTATAAACACTGGATGTGATGATTATAGTTAACACTGGCATATGGTATTCTTGCAAGTTGTTCAGACAGTGGATTCCAAGGTTTCTCATCACAAGAAAAAAACTATTTTCCTTTTTATTTTCTGTGTCTATGTGAGATGAATGTTCAATAAACTTACTGTGATCATTTCATAATATACAGAAGTCAAATCACTATGTGGGCCACCTGAAATGAATACACAGCTGTACATCAATTTTATCTCAATAAAACTTAATGTTGAATGAATAAATGGATGGACAAAAGGACATCGGTGTACAAGTATCTTACCATTTGTGGCTCCTGAAATAATCTCTGTTCAAAACCATCATACGTGAGACTCTTGCTCCTCGAGGTGTGAGCTGAGGACCAGTATCATCATCCCACCTGGGAGCTCATTAGGGACGCAGCATCATCTTGGGTGCCCCCAAGACCTGCTGAAACAGATGTGCGTTTGGACATGATCCCCAGGAATTTGCCTGCTTCGCAGGGAAAGCGTTTGATTGCTGGTTTTTAAATCTCTTGGTTTAATGTTCTCTACCTCTTTGGTACTTAATTATAAGACTTTAGAGGTTTTGCTGGAGCACAGACTAGAAGAGGTAGCTCTGCATAAGTGCAAACTTTTGCCAGCAAGGGGAGAGTTTGCAGAGCAACTTTTTTAAAATCAAGGATAAAATATCTGTGTTCCCATGATGTGGCTGCTCCTCTATTTCCGCTTTAGCTGTGCTGGTTCCAGCCCCCCGCCCCCCCCGCCCCCCTCCTGGGATGGTCAGGATTACAGCAAGAAGGCCTCCTCTTGGGGTGAGTGAAGCAAGCTGGCTGTTTACCCTCCGCAGCCTGCACCTGAAGCCAAGCCGGTGGTCTTACGAAGCTGCCCGGCGGTGGCGTGTTTTCCATCTGGGAAGCAGTCCGGAGCCCAGCTCAGCTGCCAGCAACAAGGCGGGCTGCGGCTCTTGCCCTGCTTTCTGCTGGCCCAGCCTCTCAGAGCCCCATGAAATCGGCCTCCGCCGGCCAGCTCTTCACAGACAGGCGGGGCGGACTCTGCAGGGGTGTCCAGGATCGTGATGGAGGGGCCCTGGCAGGGAGGAGTGGAAAACAAGTCCCAATTCCAAGCCTGAGTCCGGGTTGTGAGCCCCTTGCTGCTTTCCAGAAGAGTGCTGATGCAGGCTGCCCTGGGCCAGAGCCAGTCCAGCTTCCGGAGCAAGGCCCGGCCGCTGCCCACTGTGGGGGCACGGGGCGGGCAGCAATTACCAGTCTCCACAGGGAGGAAGGGGCTTCACTTGGTCCATCAGTTGAAGAGCTAGGAAGCAGCTGGGCTCTCCCCCTCCCCTGCTCCCTCCTCCCCCTCCTCCCCCTCTTCGTCCTCCTCCCTCCCCTGTTCCATCCCTCCATCAGCACCACAGCCCTACCTCCTGTCTTTCTCACTCGCTTTATTGGGAGCAGGCAGGAGTGAGCTGAGCTGGCCTCCGATGATACTGTCTTCTGCTACAGAAACTTGTCTTCGGGTCAGGATGAAGATTCCAAAAAGACGGCCTCTCTGCCATCTTGATTTTATTGAAGGGACTCCTGCCAGTCCGTCTGAAATAGCAGAGATAAACATAATCCTATTTTCACTGTGGCCAAGGCCATCGGATAAAGTTGGAACTTGATAAAGAACTAAAATGCTATTGAAACACGGGAAACATTCCTGAAGCAAGTTCTTCTAGCTACTTCCTCAGAGAATTAATCCATGGCTCCAGGTCCGGCCAACATAGATTCGTGGGCCGGGCAGCTATTAACTTCAGCTGCTAAAAACATAGCTTGTTACTCTTCTCTCCCTTACTCATCTGCTGGGAGCATCTTGATAACTGGTAAAAACTGAATTTAAGAGTTCTGTGGCGAGCAAAGCAGAGATGCTATTGCCCCCTGGCAATGCCTCAGCTGCTGAGAATGTGATTCCCATCAGAAGCAAGAGGCAATCTCTCCGTCTGCATTTGCAAGGTGTGTTCCACATGGCCTCTGGGCCGGAGTGGCTGCAGGTGAGGAGGCAGGTGTGCTAGGAGGATGGGGCAGGTGCTGCCCCTTGTTGACAAGTGGTGAGACTGGGCAACTGAGTTGTCCTTTTTAAGTCTCAACTTCTTCAGCAGTAAAATGGAAAGAGCGATGCCTGCTACAAAAGTTTGTTGGTTAAATGAGGAAAGATCCACAGAGCACCTACTTCTGTGCCTTGCCCCATTGCTGGTGCCAGTAAATATTCGTTCTCTTTACTGGCACCAGAATTCTTGGTGGAGGTGTGGGAGAGAGGACTGGGGGTATCGTGATGACTTTTTTTTTTAACCTAAATACCTCTATCCTCCTAACTCCCAGGTATTCAGAGGTCCTCCCCTCCTGCCTTCACATTCAGGTCCTTGAAAATCAAGGCCATGTGCAGGAAGTTCCCAGCAGGAGTAGGTCTTTGTCAAAGTGCAAGAGTTCCTTGGAGGAGAAGCAGGCTGAGTCCCCCCAACTGGGGCATGAATGCGCATCTTGGGTGTGTGCTTCTAATCCCCAGAAGAACTTGGCTTCAGAGGAGGACCAAGAGGGGGAGAGGTGAGAAGAGGGAAAAAGCAGAAATGGGAGAAACACTTAGGTAACAAGACACTGATGTGAGTTTTCTCTCTCTCTCTCTAATGCCAGATCATTTATTTTGTGGAAGACAAACCTTCTGCTTCTTTTTTTTAAATAGGGGACTCTTCCTACACTGGCCATTAGAGTTTATAAAGATTTTCTAAGAAATCCTGATTTTACAATGAGCCAAATTTTCACCACGTGATGCCATCTTGGTTAAAAAAAAATGTCTGTTCCCAGATATTCCTGAACATCAACTTTCAAAGCTGACATTTCTCTTTCACGGATCACAGACACATTTTAAAAAAAGATTTAAAAAGAGTCTGCAAATCTTTGGTTTCCATCTTAAGATGTATCAAATATTGAAGACATTCAAAAAGGAATAAAGAATACTATAATGAATGTTGCCCTAGCTCTCAACCAGTTTAATTGTATAGAGTTAAAAACAACAAATAGAGCATATTTTCCTAGACTATGTATCAATGAGGTAACGATGTGTAAACAGGGAAAGCAAGGGCCTCATGAACAGACTTGGGGAGGGTGGCTACCTTGCATGGAGACATCAAGGGAACAGGGTGAAGAAGACCCACTGCTGGAGGGGACTGTGCAGGTCTTAGCCTGCTTAGACAGTGGCATGAACCAAAGTCTGTTAGATTCTGCCTTCAAAATTTAAAAGATGAAAAGCCCAAGATAAGCAGTGAGAGAAAATTCTAGCTCTCTTCAATATCACAGGTCTAAGAAGGGAAACTGGCCTTGTGGAGGTGACACACTTCATTCAGAGACCAGGCAACTCAGACTCGGTTCAGATTTGGGCATCCAGCCCACGTTTTCACTAACACACAACCAGGGAGTGCCTAGCAAGGCCTGTTCTATTTAGGCGACTGAAGAATCATTAACAAATCACACAGAAAGCACAAAATAAAGCCCATGTGAGCAGCACACAAGGAACTTTATATATTACTGACCATTTTCCCTTCTTTTCAAAGGAAAGGCATTTCCATAAAGTGAGTGTTATTTACTGTGCATCTGGTATCAGACCTAGTCAAGATCGCCATAAAAAGATTATTTATGACTCAATAGCTATTCTTGTTTACCACAGATGACATCATCATCCCAACATTGTTACATTACATCAGCATTTGCCCCACTTTTATTGCCTTTGCTATGAAGCCCGTGGCTCAGGCAAAAATGCCTTATGAAGACGAGCCCAGAAAATAATAAATAACATGCAATTCCAGCCTTCCCAATGCTCGAAGTCTTCTTCCAGCTGGACCACCCGTGGCTTAACGAGAAGCCCCCCTGTCTATTCTCTCGGGCATCCATCCCCCTTAGTGGGAGCATTTCTCAAGAAGTCAGAGTAGCATCTTCCAAGGGTCCAGAGCCTTGCAGGAGCAGGAAAGCCAGCACCCATTCATCTTCTTCAGTAACACCATCCCAGTTTTGTGGAGGGAGGATGGAATTACTCCTCTCCTGCGAGGTGGATCGGAGGAAACTGTTATTCGTGGCGCTATGCCCTCCTCCAGTTAAGAGACAGTCATTTGACACAAGCTAGACCAAGCAAACTCCTCAGAACCCAGGAGCACCTCTGGAATTTGAATCACAATCTTCCCTTGTGCAGAGGAGGGAGAAGTAAGCGGCAGAGGTGAAAAGGCAGAAGTCACTGGAGTTCACTTCTTTGAGTGGCACTGCAGTCAGCCCTCAGTATCCCCCAGGCACTGGCTCCAGGACCCCCATGGATACCAAACTCTGAGGATGCTCAAGTCCCTCACATAAAATGGTGCAGCATTTACACACAACCTATGCACAGCCTCCTGAAAACTTTAAATCTTCTCTAGATGACTTACAAAACCTAATACAATGTCAGTGCTATGTAAACAGTTGCCTGAGTGCTGCAAATTCAAGTTTTGCTGTCTGGAACTTTCTGGAATTTCCCTCCCAAATATTTTCAATCTACAGTTGATTGAATTTGCAAATGCAGAGCTGGCAGAGACTGAGAGCCAACTGCACTTCAGTTGATTGAAATACATTTCTACTCCCAAGATGGAGTCACTCCTGCCCTGGGTGCCATGACAGCCAATGGAAACTAATCCTTATCCTATAAAAAAGGTCCAGACTTCTGCCCCATTTTGCAGGTCCCTGGATCCTTCCTTGGGAACAGGGACCACTTGTATCATGAGGTGTTAAGCAGAGTTTGCATGTTACCTATGTCGTCATGTTTAATCATCTTTAACAGGTTAGCCTGGTTGCAAGTTCTAGGTTCCATTCCTCCCTGTGAATTCCCGTTATTGTTAACGAAGCTGGAGTCTTTCCATCCCTGGGTCAGGAAGATCCCCTGGAGGAAGAAATGGCAACCCACTCCAGCATTCTTGCCTGGAGAATCCCATGGACAGAGGAGCCTGGCGGGTTACAGTCCATGGGGTCACAGAGAGTCGGACATGACTGACTGACTTAGCATGCAAGCTGGAGTCTCTATTGCTTGTAATCAAAGACTCAAAGCCCAATCCCTGTGTGTACACCCCAATTTAAGAGGCAAATACACCACAGTTTGAACTGAGGAGTCAGTCACACAGCTGGCAAATGGGGTGTCCCTGACAGGGAGAGCCCAGTGGAAGGGGTTCAGGCTCCTTCACACACACTATGAGGCGCTCAAGGCTGTGTGTCGTACAGAGAATCAATTCAAGCTGCAAACTGAATGCCTACAGGCACCATCACTCCTGAGGTTGGCTGTATTCCCCTCTCCTATAGGAAAGAACAACCAGCAGTAACATTGTTCCTGGATCCCATGAAGGACTTGAATTTCGAGGTGAATCCAGGAGTTGTCCTGTAAATTTCCCCGTGGTTGTCGTTTTCCATCCCTCTCTCCCCATACCTTTAAAAATTGACGTCGGCAGCGATTCATTTCCCAGTGGCAGGAAGCCTGCCTGTCCCCTTATCTCCTGGCAGCTCTAGGAAGTGACAGTGACAAAGAGGAACTGGCCTCCACTCCCCACCCCCAGGGGCTTCCCTGGTGGCTCTGAAAGTAAAGAAGCCGCCTGCAATGTGGAAAACATGGGTTCGATCCCTGGGTTGGGAAGATCCCCTGGAGGAGGAAATGACAATCCACTCCAGTATTCTTGCCTGGAGAAATCCCATGGACAGAGGAGCCTGGCGGGCTACAGTCCATGGGGTCACAAAGAGTCGAACACAATGAGTGACTAAGCACAGCACCCCTCTTCAAACCTGGCTGGTTAATGTTCCAGGGCTGGCCGCCTTCACAGAAGCCTGGAAGGACCCAAGAAATGAAGACTCGTGAAAGGAAAGCCCAGAACGAACAAGCAAAGCTGGCTGGGAACTGGGCTTGGCCCACCTGGGAGTCATGTCCTGCTGAGGGCCCGAGCAGGACACTTGTAGCTGGCTAGTCACTAAGCACTTCTGTTCTTGTCGCTGAACACTCAATTAGCAAAGCTCTCTGTGCTAATCTGCAGACCCCGAGATGGTGTTTTGGTTATTGAAGCTGTGAGACAGACAGGAGGACCCAGGCAGGCCCAGCAGGGCTGCCGGGTCCCTGCTCCACAGGGCCTGGGGCCTCGGCAGGGGCTGATTTGACAGGCTGGGGGCTGGACAGTGGTAGGCGGATGTCTTCTGAGATGGCTTGGTCAAGGTCACTCATGTCTGGCACGATGGTGTAGTGATGGCTGGAGGGCCAAGTTTAGTGGGATTGCAGCCCAGTGGAGGAGCCCTGGGAAGTGGATGGCACTGCCTGCCTTATGCCCTCAGGCGTCTTCCTGGCCTCACTCCCACTGGGCACTGTGGGGAGAGGCAGCACCGGTGCCCAGGTTCAATGGGAAGGTGTCAATGAATCGGGAGCCATGTTTAAAACCACCATGGGCCGGAGAGAGGCTGTCCAGAAAGGGTGATGGTGAGGGTCAGCGCTCCAAAGTTAGCATTGCACTCTGCTCCCTCCTCCGGGCTCCAGATACAGCTCTCAGAACACTCTCTGCTGCCCGTCAGCCTCCAGGGTAAAGTGTCAGATCTGAGGACGGGACTGCTATGGCAGCACAGCACTCAAGAAGGGGCCTTCCACACCCCCAGGGTTGGAAGGCGGGCAGGGAGCAATGCGGTGACTGGGCCTGGGCGACGGTGGTCCTTTCTCTCCTTTGTCCCCCTCCCTCACAAAGGGGGTCTGACTTGACTTCACAACACGCCGCTCCAAACTTGGGACTCCATGGTCTCCAGCTACCTGCCGAGTCTCCAGCCCCAAGAACCTGTGGTCCCTGGAGCCAACTCCGCAGAGCCTGAGTTTCTTCCCTCGCCTGGGATCCGAGAGCTCACATGCTGACGGGCTGGGGGTATACGGGTCTGGAAGGGCCTGCATCCAGCAGACCTGGGTGGCCACTCCTGTCTGTGTGGGATCTGCCAGCCCAGCACCTCACATGCAGGGTGGTGCTTCCACCCACCTGCCACCTGATGGGCTCAGCAAGTTCACCTGGCACTGAAAAATGAAGGAAGGAAGGAAGGAAGGAAGGAAGGGATAACTGGGAATGGAAGGGGTAGAATGATGTTGTAATTGGAGCTTTAAAAAAAAAACACACAATAAACATCTCTGCACCAAGGAGTGAGATTCCAGCAGGCTGGTGGGGATACAAGGCGAGGGAGTGTCAGAGAAATGTAAGAACCCGGCACAGAACATAGAGGCTCACAGGTCGGTGCCCACTTGATCCAGATGGACCCAGGGCCCTGGCCTTTTCCCTCTCAGGCTTCTCTCCCTTCCAGAAAGCACAATGTGTAGTCACCCCCATGGGCCGTGGGTGTGAGTGTCCCCTTGGCTCTTTGCAACTCCCCTCATAACATGAGTTGGACCCATCGGCCCCAGTGTGCACCAAGAAATGAAAGCACTGCATAGAGCTGGGGCCCAATGGGAAATTTATGTTGCACAAATAAGGCTTTGCGGGCTGGGCCTAGCTCCCCAGAGCCCAGCCTCAATAACCTCCAAGGTCAAGCACAAGCTCTGGGCTCCTCTGACCTATGCGTAGCTCTCCACACAGGCTGCTGAGACCCCGTCTCACACCATGCAGGCTACCCACCTGTTTCCTACTTTGCTAATAATAAACAAGGTACATTGTCTGAGTCTTCATTCTCAGCAACCCTTGGACCCGGCTTAGCTCTGTGGCTGGTGCAGCTCATCTCTGGATCCTAGCATGGTCCACTCAAGCTGTGAAACCCTCTGAGCCCTTCCTACCACGAGCTCACATTCTCACATCTTTAATTGGCTCAGCCTGAAAGGTCCTGTGGTTAGGTCTTGTCTGTCTTGCAGTTTGTGCCCTACCATTGCTTGGATGGTCCCGCATCTTCACTGTCTCCGTCCCACTTAACCACAGCTCCATTCTCTCACCATGTGCATTTACAGTACATTCATGAAGTCGGCATAGCAGACATCCTCATCCCATTATATTGGGTTTGAGCATCTGACTTGTTTGGTAGGATGTAAGGGGTGGGGGGTAGGGGTGGGGGAATGTGATGTGAGTGTCTGGGGCTTGGCTTGCTGTCTTGAACTCTGGCTCCAGAATGAAATACACAAGAAACTGACCTAAACCCAGCCAAAGTGCAGACCCAGAAAGAGGACAAGTAAACACTTCTAAGCATGGAATTTGGGGACTGTTTGTTATACAGCATGTTCTGTGCAAAAGTTAACTGCAACAGAACCCCTTTGGGGGGCAAGACCTGCCTCATAGCTTGTTTTGTTCTTTCTGATTCTGTGACTTCAGTTGATGACCTCTTCTCCCATGACCAGCCCCTTACATCAGCCAGGTCAGTGCCTTCCTCAGTCTCCCCTCCTCAACTCCCTCCCACTCAGTGAGCTGATGGAGGACCTCAGTCCCCTTGACACCAGGCTGTGTAGCTCATGATAAACTAGGCCAATGGTTCTACAACACAGATCACAAAACTGATTCAGAACGAAGACACTGTTTACCATCCTTCTCCCCTGATTAGAAACGTCCTAGTGACGGGCAGAGAGCACAGATATCCCTCCCAGCAAGGGCCAGTGCTGTTTCTTTCAGTTCAGTTCAGTTCAGTTGCTCAGTCGTGTCCGACTCTTTGCGACCCCATGAATCGCAGCACGCCAGGCCTCCCTGTCCATCACCAACTCCCGGAGTTTACTCAAACTCATGTCCACCAAGTTGGTGCCATCCAACTGCTTCTTTAAATTGTGATAAAATATATGACCATAACATTTACCATTTTAGCCATCTTTAAGTGTAATACTTCTGTGGCATGAAGTATATTCACATTCACCATCACCATACCACCATCCATCTCCAGAACTTTTCATCTTCCCCAATAGTAAGTCTGTTTCCACTAAACATTAACTCCCCATCACCCTCCTCCCCTCAACCCTTGGAAACCACCATTCTTTGTCCGTTTCTGGGAATTTGACTATTGTGGGTACCTCATTATCAGTGGAATCATCATACATGTGTCCTTTCATTTCTGCCTTATTTCACTCAGCCTAATGTCTTCTGCGTTTATTCATGCTGCAGTATGTGTCAGAATTTATTTCCTTTTTAGGGCTGAATAATACTCCACTGTGTGTATATTTCACATTTTGTTTATTCATTCATCCATCAGTGGATATTTGGGTTGTTTCTACCTTTGGCTGTTATGAATGTTGCTGCAAAGTACATGGTATACCAAAGGCTGGTGCTTCTTAACTAAGGTGTCTGCAGCTGGGGGGTAAACACCAGGACTTGTACTTTAGGAGAGTGCTGAAAGCAGTGCTGGGAAAATGAATCAGACCAGAATGTTTCCTTGAAGCCTTTCTCACTAGGCTCAAGGTGAAGGAGGAAGAGGGTAAGCAAAGTGCCTCGCTGTGCAACAACTCTCTCCAAAGACTCTCTAATATCTAACCTCAAACACTGTAAATCCTTGGCTGGGTACAGAGCTCAGGGCTGCAAAACGTCTTCAGATCCCTCCTTTGCAAGTCCTGCACTTGCAGATGCTGCAAATCATCACCATCACTTCCTTTGCTCGCGGTACACGCATCCTGCTCAAACTCATCGGGAAAGTGGAATCTCTTTCTGCCCTCCAGCAGAAATCCCTCCAGCCTGCCTTGCCCTGCGATGATGCACCTTGGCCCACTGAACGTGGCAGAAGGGATGCTGTCCCAGTGCTGAGTCTTGCCTTTGGGAGGCCTGGCATCTTGGGGTGGAGGGTTGGGGGGGGGGCGTTCAGCAGACTGGTGAGCAGGCCCACTACCCACCTACCATGCTTGAGAAAGCCCAAGCTAGCCGTGGGAGAGGCCACGCAGCAGAGCTGAGGAGCCAAACCTCCCGGAAAACCCAGGCGACCTCAAGCCATCTCAGCTCCTCCCCGCCCTTTTCCCTGACAGTTTGGGGATCCCAGCTGGGGCCCTGACTGAAAGTTGGGGGGTAAAATAAAACAGTCATTTTACTCCTCTGGGTTTTTTTGGTCCAGGTTAGGCCACCATGGGCACCTGTTGGAGGCTCACCCCTCACTCTTTGATGTGGGGATGCTCTGTTGTTAGGGTTTCATCCTCAGCCTTTGGGCGCCTCCGCAGAAATGAGATGAACTGCTTTTTAACATCCTGCTACATACATTTCAAGACATTCAGAGAGAATGTAGACGTGATGGTCTTTTTTTTTCTTCTGTTTTTTTCACCATATTCAGTTCACTTCAGTTCAATCACTCAATCCTGTCCAACTCTTTGCGACCCCATGGACTGCAGCTCACCAGGCCTCCCTGTCCATCACTAACTCCCGGAGTTTACTCAAACTCATGTCCATTGTGTCGGTGATGCATATTAACTTTTTTTTTTTTTTGCATATTAACTTTATGTTGTCTCCGTGGCTTCCCCCCTGGCAAGTGGGCCAGTAGCAGGAAGAGGCTCAAGCCCCTGAGGTTACAAGGTTCCACGTGGGGTGGGGTATGCCCCGAGCACAGAAACGCACTTTCCCCCCGCGCTTCATGGGGTGCCGGCAAGACCAACAACCCCCGCCTCCCCGACCCGGGGGCTGTGGGAACATCTCCACCTGATACCTGGGCTCCACGCCCCAGAATCCCACTGCTACTGGTGGGAGGGCCTGGGAGAACCCACTCTCACCCCACTCCCCATTCATCATCAGTCTAAAGTTTGAGAACCAGTTGCAACCGGGAAAGCAAGAGGGGCGTGGCGGTGGGGTGGGGGTGTGTGTGCTGAGGCTGCTGGCAGCGCTGGGCCAGGGTGCGGGGGTGGGGAGATGTGGGGGTGGTAGGGTGTCAGGAGGGAGTGAGGGGAGTGAGGAGGGATGGGGAGACAGGAGGGGAGGGGGGGACAGGGAGGACAGGGAGAGGGGAGAAGGGGTGGGGGCGGGGTACCCACCTTCTCACTAGCCCCACCTGCAGGCCCAGCTCTCACCTTCTGGCTGCTGGACGGTAACACACGGAGCCCCGCAGACCCGGATGGAGAGGATGGGCCCAGAAGGGCTGAACTCCTGAAGCATCACCTCTGTCACGTGAGGGTGCTGGTCCCCCACCTCAGAACCTGGCTGTAGGATGACCGGGTGCGTTGGGGTTGGAGTGGGGTTCGGTGGGGGAGCTGGGAGGGCGAGCGATGGCAAGCGCAGAGGGACATAAATCAGGGGACAAGAAAACTACTCAGCGTCTGCAGAACCGGGTCAATCCGGCCTGATCTGGCCTGATCTGGCCAGGGAGCAAGGGCACAGGGTCCGCTCGGGCAGAGGGAAGACCTCTGCCTCTTGGTTCCGTCTTGGAGCTGATTACCCTTGAGCATCATCTCTTAGATGCGTTCATCAGGAAGGAGCCTGGAGAAGCGAAGTTCTGACCCTCAAGGATCTACGGCTGCTCACATTGCAGAGCTGAGGGCAGGAGTGCGGAAATGCGCACCATCTGTCTCAACACAAAGGCAGTACACCAATACAGCCGGTTAACAACCTATTAAATTTAGAAAATACGTTCTGTTGTGCTGATTTGAATAAAACAAAACAAAACCCTCATAACCATCTCGAAGGCCAAGGTTCAAATTCAGAATTCTCTCCCCTTTGGAATGGGAGGCTGGAATATGGTGGTCATGACCCTGGGCTTTGTTCTGTTTCCTGCCTCTTCCCAGGGCGTCCGAGTCTTGATCAGGGTTACCTGCCGCTGGCCATGGGGGTAGGCACAGGGCCCTGCCAACCAATCAGGGAAGCCTTCAGCTGCACGGTTTTGATTGAGTCTCCACCAGTATTACCCACATGGCTGATCTCTAGTCTCCAGCCCCTCTTGGACTCTGAGGCTAACATCTCTGGGGGTTCGAACTGATGCAGTGTGTCCCAAGTCCCCACTGTAAATCATATTGTCCTTCTGGGCAGCGCTTTTAACCTCTAGGCAAAGGCAGATTCTCTTTTTAGGCAGGACATTCCAGAGACTCAGACATACGGCCCCCTCCCCCTTTACCCCCCACCCAGAAGCCAGAGCAAAAGCCAGACCTCACTCTCCTGCTCCTGCTTATGCGCAGTCATGCCCTACTCTTTGCAACCCCATGGACTGTAGACCGCCAGGCTCCTCTGTCCCTGGAATTCTCCAGGCAAGAATACTGGAGTGGGTTGCTATTTCCTTTCCAGGGGAATCTTCCCGACCCAGGGATGGAACGTGCATCTCCCGCAGCTCCTGCATTGGCAGGCGGATTCTTTTAACAACTGAGCCACCTGGGCAGCCTGACCTCACTCTGAGTGAGGCTGATTCTTCACCTGGGTCAGCGGTGATTTTGATCAGAAAGGTTCTCCAGGAGGTGACATAATCCCAGGTGAACATCACAAAGAAGCAGTGTCGCTGCATGGTGAATTCTCTGAGGATCCCAAGGCTCGAAAGGGAACAAGTCGACTTTTCTGGTGGTCTAATGTACAAGCATCTGCCTGCCAATGCAGGAGGCATGGGTTCGATCCCTGGTCGGGGAAGATCCTGCATGCTGTGGAGTGACTAAGCATGTTCGTGCACCACAACTTCTGAGCCTACACACTCTAGAGTCCCAACTCCACAACAGGAGAAGTCACTGCAATGAGAAGGCCGCACACCGCAACTAGAGGTTATCCCCCACTTGCTGCAACTAGAGAAAAGGCCCCACAGCAACAAAGACCCAGCACAGCCAATAAATAAGTAAATGATTTTTTTTTTTTTTAAAGAGAGAACAAAGGAATGAAAGAGATTCTGGGTCCAAGAAGAGCAGCCCAGGGTGGCTGAGCCTGGGAGGGGTGACATCAGGAAGGCCTAGATGGAGCTGAGGGTTCAGGAAAATTGCCATCCAGGGCGGCCTTTCCAGCCACTTTGCATTGACATGCATAGGACCACTGGCTCTGGGCACTGGGGGCAGCGAGGCTGATCCTTCTCCAGAAGCAGCAGTGCATAAAATCTTATTTACTTGTCCAATGTGAAAAGCAAGAAAGCTCTGAGAAGATCAAAGTCAGAGATGGGGAAAAGCTGATGAGGGAAGAAAAAACACTGCTTCCTATATAGTAAGTCCCCTAACATGCATGGATGTGAGAGTTGGACTGTAAAGAAAGCTGAGCGCTGAAGAATTGATGCTTTTGAACTGTGGTGTTGGAGAAGACTCTTGAGAGTCCCTTGGACTGCAAGGAGATCCAACCAGTCCATCCTAAAGGAAATCAGTCCTGAATATTCATTGGAAGGAATGATGCTGAAGCTGAAACTCCAGTACTTTGGCCACCTGATGCAAAGAACTGACTCATTGGAAAAGACCCTGATGATGGAAAAGATTGAAGGCAGGAGGAGAAGGGGACGACAGAGGATGAGATGGTTGGATGCCATCACTGACTGAATGGACATGAGTTTGAGTAAACTCCGGGAGTTGGCCATGGACAGGGAGGCCTGGCGTGCTGCAGTCCATGGGGTCTCAAAGAGTCGGACATGACTGAGCAACTGAACTGAACTGAACTGAACATATGAATGAGTTCCATTTCAAGAGCACGTTCCAAAGTCCAATTCATTCATAAGTTCAATAATGTTAGCCTAGAAACCCAACCACGCAATTGGCTATAATACTGTACTGTAATAGGTTTATAATACTTTTTACACAAATAATACATTAAAAACAAACAGAAAATAAAACATCTTTAATCTTACAGCACAGTACCTTGAAAAGTACAGTAGTATGGGACAACAGCTGAATTACAGGGGCACATTCGCATATTTGAAAGTTTGAAACTTGAAGTTTGTAAGTGGGGACTTGCTGGGCTTGTATTCAGCTGGGAATCTGTAAAACTCCCTCCTGGTACCTCGTGTGAGTGAGATACGGAGAAGAGATCAGGTGACGACAGGTACAGTCACACCCGGCTCCAGATTCCTGTGCTTGAAGGTGAATGATAACTCTTCACCTGAAGTCACCTCCAATCCCTCTGTGTTCCTCATTTTTACTGTCAACTCTGATCAGGATTTTGGAAGGACTGACGCTAAAGCTGAAGCTCTAATACTTTGGCCACCTGATGTGAACAGCCAACTCATTGGAAAAGACCCTGATGCTGGGAAAGACTGAGGGCAGAAGGAGAAGCAGGTAACAGAGGATGAGATGGTTGGATGGCATCACTGACTAAATGGACATGAGTTCGAGTAAACTCCAGGATAGTGAAGGACAGGGAAGTCTAGTGTGCTGCAGTCCATGGGGGTCAAAAAGAGTCAGACAAGACTTAGTAACTGAACAACAATAACTGATCAGGAGGCCAAAGGTGCTGTTATAACTTAACCCATGACATGAAGCCAGAGGGGATCACTGACATCGGAACAGAAGAATCAGGACTCAAGAGGATCTTAGCAGAACATAACAACAAAGGAACAAAGTTTAATGGAGATAAATGTTGTCTATGATATATATGTTATATATCCCTAAGTTTAGGTATGAGAGATCTGGCTTAATAGGAATTCATATGAAGAAACAGGAGAGGTTTTTAGTTATTGTGAACCCTTTATGAACCCACAATAGAGTTACCCTCAAATATTAACCAGACCTTAGAATGCATTGAGAGAAAGAAAGCATATACATCAATGAGGCACTTGAGGACTGTGCCTCCCCAGTGTTTGGGCTTCCTGTTTTAATGATCAGGTCCAGAGAGAAGTGGTTCAAGTGATGATGACTCTGGAAATCCCATCATCAAGAACCAGTTGAAGAAGCTCAAGGGTTTGAGTGTGAAACAAGAAGGCTTATAGGAGACTTGCTAGCTGTCCTCTAATATATGGAGGACCTTCATGGGAAAGGAGTAATAGATTTATTCTATGATACTCCAGAGGGGCAAGATTAAGATGAATGAATGAAAGATACAGGAAGAGCTTCAACTGAACACATGGAAGACTTTTCCAAAATGAATGTCTTATATAGTAGTTAATTCCCACCCCTGGAAATATCCACCTAGGGATATTACAGAGAAGACTTTTGGAATCTAGGGAGATACAATATCTGAACAAAATGCGGGATCCTTCATGGTGAAATTCCAAGCACTGTGGCAGCTGCAATGCTCATCAATTTGGACCATGAAAGCAGCTGTCTCCTGCCCCTACAGTAACCAGAGGATGGCTCTGGTCCTAGAATCAGATTACTTTTCCCCTTAGTTTTGAAGGTTGGTAATAAATCAATAGCTTTGTTGTAGCCAGACTGAAGTTCTGGCTTTTCACATTGGCAACAAAAATCTCTCATTTGACTGGAATGCAATTTGAGTAAAATTAACTCACTTTCCATATGGTCAGGTGTGCAGAAAGCCCCGAATCCTGATTCATTTTTCCTAGATTGTGATTCTTTCATATTCATCTGCACTGTTTAAGGTCTCCTATTTATAGCTGATGAGACATTGAGGTGGTCTGGGGGTTGACTCCTTACATTCGTTCCTCTAGAAAACTCACAGCAGCTATAAAAGTTGGCTATTTTCTAGAAATTGCACGTCTATTATTTTTCATGTCCACCATGGGACACCTGCAAAGACGTATCTGTGCTGACTTTCTAAAAGTTCAACTTGGTTTTCTTTGTCCTGAAAGAGCACGTCTGATGAAAGTCAGATGGGGTTTAGGTCATCAGTGGGAGTTTGCCAGTGGAGTTGTGCTTAAGGGATGGGAAGAAAAACAACAACAACAACAACAGATGAGTGTGTGTCCTCAGGCTGAGACACTAATGATGGTGAAATGGACACTTTCTGAGACAACAGGAGGCTGTATAAATGTACATAAACTTAAGAAAGCTCTTGGGTATTTCTGAGCCTGCAGAGATGGAGAAAAAATTTCCCCAATACATATGAGGCTAACTTTGCTGAGAACACGAGTCATTTTCCTTAATGTGTGTGTATATATATGTGTCATGATGGCTCTGGTAGATATGAGCTACAGAAAATTCTAGGAGTTTATCAGGCAAATGAGTAGATTTTACTCTTGCTGCCATCTCTGTTTCCAGCCTGAGAGGAAGATGACTTCTCACCTTCATTACCTGATATTAGCACATCCAAGTGGCAACACAATCAGTTAGGATTGCATTTACTTTCACCTCCACACTTTTTTT